CGCTTCAGGAATTCGAAAGGTTGTACAGGGAGGGTATTTTGAAAAATGGAGTAAAAGTAAAATCATCTGGATAAAAATAAGAACAAAAAGTTCTAGGAAGAAATATTCGCCTACATTTTTGTAACTATACAGACGGCATAGAAAGCGAAGTGCCCAACAATTCTCCTGTTGTTGTGTGTGTATTCATCTCCTTGTTAACTTGTTTACCGAGCAGTTGCCTAGTAACGAGAGGGCGATACACATATAGACACACAGACTGAAGGGAGGGATGTATGAAGTAAGCCGTTGAGATGGGCTAAGGTGCCATGATATGCATGCCAAATTTCATAAAGATTGGTTCCGGCGTTCAAAAGTTGATAGGAGCGGATTTACAGACACACATTAGGCATGGTGATTTCATAAACCTACTCTTATTTTTTCAAAAACGGAAGGTAGGATGAAGGTTGTGTTGACATAGAGAGGCAAAGTATAAATAATTACGAGGAGATATAACCCCACTAACTGTATGTACACGTAGTAAAATGAACGCTTTGGAACAGAAATATGTAGAATTATATAAAGGTCAAGCCAGGAGACGAATAATACTGTAATGTAGATGCCCAGAGAGTTTCTAGGCAACGACTTGTAAACAGCCTTCAGTCGCATAAGCGCATTCAACAATAGGATGAAGGATTATAGTTCGTTGCTAGGCAACAATCAGTGCCACAAATCGACTAGCGAGGCAGCTATCAAGCAACGTGCTTCCTATGGAGTCCGTGCCGCTGCCTCTGCTGTGCGATCGTTTGGTAAACACGTTACAACAATATAGGCTGTTTTCTGAGTGTGGTCGGTGCGGAGGCTATATAAAGACAGAGACAGAATAGATGTCAGTGTTTGTATTTAAATATTTAAATGACAGTGAGGGAATTCTCGGTGGAAGATAGCCATGGAAATTTGTGGTGTGAAGACTTGGCTTGTAATTTTAAGACTTTATTAATGTGTAATAGTTGGAGTGATTTGAAGCGCTAGTGTTTGTGCGCAACCATGAATAATAAAGCGTGAAATCAGCGATAGGGCTGTAATTTGAGTGTGATTGAGAGAGGATGTAACCAAAGTGTCAATAAATCAAATCATCCGAAACAGAACTCCTCATTTCGTCACCCGTACCATCCTACAGACGACAGTACGTTGGGAAATAGAATTTTAAAAACTTATGGGGTCTAAGAGGAAGAAAGAAAGTGGGTTTGTCATATGTGTAGCAAAGAAGAGGATTGAAACCACGTATGGAGATTCAAGGAGCAAAGATTTGGAGGGGTCGAATTTTGGTAAGACGTGTTTCAATATGGATGCAGAGGTAGAAACTAGGATGATAGTGGGATGCGGGAGTAAGAAGCAGTGCCAGAAATTATATAGAGATGTGGGACAGAACAATAATGTAGAACGGGAATGAAATAGAAACCAATCTAGACGAGGAATAATGAGTAGGAGTAGTAATAGGATATGCGTAAATATAATTTTGATGCGTAATACACGGGAGGATTTTTACTCTGTTGATCGGATCCATGGCTCTGCTCTTCACGGTGGCCGGTGCGCCACTAGCCGCGAGTGTCATACGAATTTTGCCGATTCAGCATGCTTGGCTGCCGATAGCGTTCGGAATGCAGTTGCAATTCACAGATCACAGGACGTGTTGAAAATGCTGTCCCTCTATACGCAGATATCTTTCGCAATTAATTGTGTAGTTAAAAATCACAGGAGCAACAATCCTTGCACTTACAGCACACGAGACACCAACTTGCACTGGATGGTGCAGGACTTCGTGGGTTAGAGGTGGCCTCTGTGAACTCCAGTAGAGATTACTTTGCGTATTTATGTATCTCTGCAAGTAAAACTACGCTTCATCACAAAAGAATGTTAACTGCGGATCGATCTCACATTCGACGACAGACTGACGGACTGTAGAGAGCAACTGCAAAAATGAACCCTGCTAACTGGATCGCGTGGCTGCAATCTGAGCGTAGATCACTGTAGTCTTACAGAGTCTAAGCTTCAGCAAGTGTGTTGCTCTCCTTGCATTATATTTTGGAACTTTAGTCTCTTGAGCTAGACGTTTCAGTGATTTTATAGGTGCATGCTCAATTCTGGCCCTTATAATGTATCATCCAACTTTTCCTCAGTAAGCACTCAACTCTTATGTTTTAGTTTCTTGTCTATTAAGAGTTTTGTTCATTTTTTTTTTTTGTGAAATGTGTCTCTGCTGGGAACTCGAAATTTTCGCCCGACAGTTTCTAGCAGATCCGTGTTTCACATGGGTGTCATACAGAGTTACAGGTTGCTCTGAAGTATGCCGCACTCTGATGTGCCACGCCGCTCACTAACTCTAACTGAGAACAGATGTGTAGTGGAGCTGAATAATGCTAACAAATCATAAACAAACTCCCAGGCATGAACCGCACTGCTCGCCGTGAAACATAATATCATCAAGGGGTCCACAAGTTAATTACTTCCCTTTATTCCAAAGGTTATTGGCCATCAGGGATACTGCTTCATCAGCAAAATTAATATGCGCTTCTCGGTAAGCTGCGCGCCTGTCGCCGTGAAGAGCAGAACCCTGGAATCAGTCATAGTGTCGAAAAGCTCTCTGTAGATGCGTTCTGTTCTATAGAAATTATAATGTACGTAGGGGTTCTGATAAGATTTTGGTTTTTCCTATTTACCTGGTTTTATGTTAATAATATTTTTATCATATTTGTTTAAAGTTTGTTGCCGATCTAAAGTGAAAATTACGCAAACCAACAAAGATTTCACTGCAAAAGAGTCACAAGCGATGATGAAATATATTTTCCTGTAAGGGAACTTGGCCAAAAATAAATGACGATGACATGTCGGTTACACTAGGTGATAAGCGCCCTTCCTAATCCACAGTCAAGAATTGGGTTGGTAGGTTTAGAACAGGACATTTGAGCACTGAAGACGAAGAACATTCAGGGATACCAACTCAAGTGACAATTCCAGAAAAAGTGGATGTCATTCATTCCATGATCCTGGACGATCGAAGGATATCCGCTAAAAAGTTAGCATGGACTCCGGCGAAGTCCCGAGAAATATTGGGCTATATTATTCACGAGATTTTAGACATGAGAAAGCTCTCATCCGAATGGCTTCGCAAATGTCTCATTGGTCATCAAAAGCGTGATTAAGTGCTTGTTTCACAAACGATTTTGCACCGATTTCGGCAAGAGCCCGTGGAATTTTTTAACTCTCGTAACTATGGATGAAACTTTGATCCATACATACGAACCAGAGATCAACAAACAATCCAAGGAATGGAGACACAGTTGTTCGCAACGTCCATAGAAGTTCTAGAAGTCATCGAGTAAGGTGTTGGCTTCTGCCTTCTAGAACAAAGATGGAATTTTGCTTGTAGACTACCTGGAAAAAGGTGCAACAATCACGGCAAAGTACTACATTGAACATCCCGACAAAATGAAGCAGCAACTGGTCTCCAAAGGCCGGGACAAGCTTTCGAAAGGAATCTTGTTTCTTCGAGAAAATGCTGCAGCAGAAATTTGCAGATCTTCACTTTGAAGTTCTGAAACATACGGCCTACTCACCTGTGGCCCCTTCGGACTACCACCTCTTTCCTAACCTGAAGAAACATCTCAAGGAAAGAAAGTTTTCGAGCATTTTGGAGGCTCCTTTAGTTCGGACGGGTGATATGCTGGAGCGAAGAGCTAGGGACTCGAACTCCGGCACCCCGAAATGCATAATATAACTGATTTCATGTATCATTCAAGTATTCAACTGCACTACTGGCCAGCATGAAACTTCACTGTTCACTGCAACATTGTAACTACTGCATACTTTATATCTCATGTTCAATAGTTCGAATCCTAGTGAGAGTCAATGATCTTGACTGAAACTGGATCATTCCAAGGGTCATAATCCTTGCGGGAATTTGGAGAAAAGTATTAATGAGTAATCAAAATAAATTAGTCGCTGTGCTTAATCAAATACCATTCCTTGAAGACATGGAGAAACTGAAAATACCTACAATTCCGCTTAGTCTTTATTTCAGCACAAAATGGGGATGTGGTAAGTATCATGCTCAGGCCGGTTTATCCCTTGGGTAACGCTGCCAGTATCCACTGGTGAGGAGGTTAGATATGACATAATGATTAAGACCAACGTTTCCGAGTACCTAGCGGCAGTCTTGTCTTCCAGTGCAGACCAGTTAATTAACCGACAGAGCACAACACGACTAATACACACAAGAATCATGTAGTGTTCTGCAAACAGGGCTCGTCACTGCGCCCTCTGACAGGTTTGTCTTCTGCTTGTTGCGTCATAATATTATCCTTGTCATTGTACGTGAAAAGAAAGAAGCTTCTGCAGCCAACTCCCCCTCCCCTTTCCAATTCGTCATATGCAGTACTTGTACGTCTAAGGTACTGTGGATTGCAGACAAAATTATACAGAAATTTCACTCGCGGAATATGACGAAATGCTTGATCGATTTCTGATTTGCTACAGTTTTTAATTAAGCCTATACATTGTATTTTATAGCGAGATAACGAAAAGGTTTAAAATGCAAAGGATACAGCAAACAAACGAAAGTAATTCTCTTCTGAAATATTTCTTTCAAAGAGAATACAAAACCTGCTTATTATAAACAACATATTGAAAATAAATAAGGCTGGAAATATACTGATAGATTTCTTTTAGTATCAAGAACTTATCATAAATCACTTACTTAGACATTCGCTGTTGTTCAGGCTTCTATTGTATACTTTTATTCGAGATCGTCTGCAAACTTTGGGAAATAACAGGAGAAATAGAAAGTACCTCCCGATTCAAAACAGGAGAAAAGAAACAGGTACAAAGCACATGTTCAGACGTTCTCATTTTATGTAAATTCGCTGAACACACATAAATTCAACAGCAAAAGAAGATAAAACGAGTAATAGCCTTTCCGTTGGGCAAAAAATAAGACTAAGAACTGGTAAATGAGAAGCACAAACCTTAAAACCCACTACACGAAATTCGCGTTCAATTGTATCCAGCTCACATACTGATCCACTGAAAGCAACGTAACAACGTAACAAACATCGCGCTCAACACTCAGCACATGAGGAGGGGGACAACAGGCGCCGAAAGGGTCCAACCCGGCGGACCCCTGGCTTCTACTGAAGGCTGAAAGCAATGGGATGCATGGAACGGCCCAGTATGTATTTTTTAAGACGTCCGACGTTCTCGGGGTCCGTCCTTCCGTCCGTCCGTCCATCCATCCGTCGGGAGCCTGTCTGCGGCCCACAAACTAAAATAGCCTCCCCTCGTCCTCTCCAGGTTTATAAATAGAGGGCACTGTGTTCGGTGCCGCTGTACAATCACTGCCTTTCTTTCATTAGCATACTCCATTCTCTCTCCCCATTATCAATGTCTCACACCCCACAGAGGCTTGAAGTGCGTGCTTTGAGTGCTGCCAAACATATACGTTTCTGGGGATTCCCCCCTAATTCCTATCGTAAGCCAACAAAAAATACAGCTGTTCAGTTCAGTAGAACGTTCTTGCATATTGAAACTTCTGTTATCCAAGTTGGGCCTATTAAATACTGTGCAGGATGTTTCATTGAAGTGAAACATCCAAAGAGAGAGAGAGACAGAAAGAATAATTGAACAATAATTGAAAGGGGAAAGTCATAGGAGAAGCGAGAGATGATTTATCATTTGGAGCCTACCAGGCTTCGCTCACCCATTGTTCTCATGAGGTCGGTATGAAAGTGAAGTCGTTAGAACCCTCATACATGGGACGCGAACAACGATCTACTGGAAGAAACTAGTCTTCTGGGATGTGGCGCCGTATAAATATTATGTTAACAGACATTTCGGAGGAACGTGTCGCCTCCATCTTCAGGGCAGAAGAAGAAAGATGACAATCCGCGAGCGAGGAACCAGCGTAAGCGTAAGCAGGTTCATCGCTCGGATTTTCTTCTTTTTTCTTCTACCCTGAAGATGGAGGCGATACATTCCTCCGAAATGTCTGTTAACACTATCTACACGGCGCCACGCCCCAGAAGACTGCTTTCTTCATAGTCACCGCCATGAAAACCTCAAATCTTACATGAATCTACTTGTTAATGGTGTGTTGCATAATTTGGAAAGAAGGGTGAGGTGGGCAGGGTATGTAGCACCAATGGGGGAGACGAGGAATGCATATAGGATATTGGTAGGAAAGCCAGAAGGAAAGAGACCACTGGGAAGACCAAAGCGTAGGAATGTGAACAATATTAAAATAGATCTTAGAGAAATAGGATGGGATGGGATGGATTGGATTGATCTGGTTCAGGATAGGGACCAGTGGAGGGCTTTTATGAACCTTCGGGTTCCATAAAATGCTGGGAAATTCTTCAGTAGCTGCAGAATTGGTGGGTCCTCAAGAAGGGCTTAGCTCCATGAGTAAGTAAATAAGGTAATGACTACTTCAGTAAGGGAGTCAAAATTAATGAAACAAGATAATTAAAATTTCAGCTCCAGGCTCAAAGGAAGTGCACTCTGTCGCTATCGGCTAATACTGCGTTTAGAGAATTAACCACTGCCTATTCCAAGAACCACATACTCCTTAAAAGAATTTGCAGAGATGTTTGTACATGTAACAACCACTGTCCTTTAAAGAGAGATGGCGTGACGAAAAGTCTTGTTGAGCACCAAATAACTTCAACAAAATTCTGATCAAGAAATAACCTGCTGTATTGGAACCCAAGCTTCATCGTCTTCAGCAAAGCACGCCTTAGGAACCTGTCTCAGACGCCGTAATGGGTTCACAGCTGCCATAACTGACATCTTTTACGTCAATGTTGCATGAAACGTAACAGACCGTGTCTGACTACAGGGCAGCACCAAAAAAGTAGTTCGTGAATATATTAAAAGGCCTCTTGTTTGTGTCGTGGCCTATTTTTATTAATAATATTGACCACACATTTTGTTTTCTTTAGCAGCAATTTCCTCACTACAGACTGATCCATCGGTGTTTGGTTCCTGGTACAATCTTTATGAACTTTCCTGCTCGCGAACGCACCGGCAACAGACCTGCGGACCAACAGCTCATGAGCGAATTCTAATGTAGATGTGTAGAAGTTGTGGCCTTCACGTCGTCCAGCTTTGGGCTATTCACCTCACGAGCAAGTCCAAATATGCTTGATTTTCTCAGAAAATATGATGCAGCGGGGAATTTTATGCGGGAGATATCCGATTTCTGTTTTCACAATGTTACCGGTCGCCGCCAGTAGGACAGTTTGTCGGTTTGTAAATTTCGAGAATCGTATAGTTCAACCGGTAGTAATAATATTTCAAGCTTCTTAGTAGAGAAATGAGAAAGAAGGAAAGTCGAAAATTAAGTGAAGAAGTCGATAGCAGACCAATGTTCCAGGATGCAAACACAAGAACATAATCGTCATTCATTGAGTTCAGGTTCGTGGTTTTATCGTCAGGAATGTTTCTTCTAATTGACCATCATAAATATTCACAATATTTTCTTATAAATTCACTAGCTTTAACAATTCGACTTGTCTGCCGCTTTTTCAATTAGGGCGTAGTTTATAACCATGAAAACACGTCATGGATACAGTGCAAGAATACACAAAAATTAAGGAAGCCACGAACATTCTGAAGATTACGCGTAAGAGAAGAGGTTATGATTCTCTGGGAACAATTTTACATATCCGAATGGGCAGCATGCTAATTAAAACGACATGCTTTTCGAATTCCCACGATAATTTTCAGTGAGGAATGGGGCACAAGATATACATATTACAGATGATTCGAGTGAAAGTGATTTGTAAACTGTGATGTGACGCTGACTTCTGAATCTATTATTCTGAGGATATCAGTAAATAATTTGGACAATCATTTTTGCCATCCTAAATGTGCAGTACACACTGAGGTGCTGACTGGTATATTCTCGCTTGTTATAGCCTTTTCCCGGAACTGCAAAAACAAACTTACTGACAGCCTCACTGTCTTCTAGCTACCGTTGTTCCTGTTGCTCCCACTTGGAGCAAAGGGCATCCTTGAATCGCTTCGTTTTACTTCAGTTTCTTAATCTTAGATAACCGGCAGGACTCCTTGGATGGGAGATCAGCCCGTCGCAGGTCTGGCACCTACAAAGGACAACATAAACACAAAATAAACGCAGAAAAACATCCATGCCTTGAATGGGATTCGAACCCACGATCTCGATGTTCTAGGGGACGAAGACAGTTCATGCGTTAAATTGCACGGCCATTGTTTTCGGCGGCAGCCTCCTAAAAGGGCGTGAAATTTCTTAAGCTATTCAAATATTTCCATTTAATCACCTGCCAGTAGCTAGGCGACACAATGACGGATGGTAGGCTAATATATGAATGATAAAGTGAGGGGATTTGAAAAGAATCGGTCATGCTCTAATCAGGGTACGGCAGAAAAGATGGGAAAACTTCTGTCCGGATGGCCGGTATACAGACGGAGGTTCGAACTGGGAATTTACCGAATACAAGTCCAGAGCGGTGCCACTACACCAGTCTCTTCAATTGAATATTTTTCAGTTGGTTTCAGTGTAGAGAATGAGATGATTCCTGCGGACAAAATGTCAGTTTATGACACCCAATACAGTTCTATTCCCTCGCAGTTACGTGCAAAGCGGTCTCCAGTTCGTGATCAGTAATATTTAATTAAATCAAATCACGATAACCGATGTATTACAGCTTTAATCTGCAACATGCGACGCGATAATCCAGTTAGTTTTAATAATGCATTGCAGACACAGAGCATGAATGGAAAACGGTATACTTATAATTAATTGCGCAGGTACAGTCAGTTCAAACTTAGAAAACACATTCGTCAGCACTGCAAACTAGTTACTATACGAGTTATTATGTCCAAGATTTCTTGTGGTCATACAAATTTTTACAATTGTACGAGTAATGAAGGTAAAGCTATCCTTGTAAGAGGCCGCGGAGACCCATAGTTTTGCGAGACGTCGAGGCTCCCAAATTTTCTGGTTCACAGATGGCGTGAGGTTGTCAGCCTTACGTGTCAGCCGCCCTTTACTCTCAGGAAGATTCCTGGTACTCATTTCTGTTAGAGGTTGAGTACACCTCAGGGCCATAGTGCTGCTGAAAGGATTAGGTCAGTTTAAAATTCCAATGAGCTTACCTGGAATCCAAACCTGGACTTTCCGGCTTGTTGGATAGTGCCTCAACCAACTATGCTACTGCGTGTCCCCTTACAATCGGTACAAGGAAATTAAATAATAATCTTTCAACCTTTGTCTACTTTATTTTTATTTGCTAGAAAATGTCTGCATACGCGCTTTACAGACGTACTCACTCAAGAGACGAGGCTTAGACTTTATACCACCGTCTTAGCTTTGCATGGTGGGAGAACAAAGAATTCCGACTGCACCACCCAACGGTCTTCTTCTCTCGCAACAAAGTCCTAGGTAAGAGGAAGGGTGGAAAAAATTCAGCAGTGGCTAGTTTCTTTATTTACATTCTTTGTGTAATATTGCTACAGGAGGACAAGTAAAGGGCGATAAAATCGGTGGGACATGTAGCACGCATGGGACAAATGTGAAATACTTAGCAGTTTTGTTTGGAAAGCGTCAAAGGACGACATTACTTGGGAGATTTGGGGACGAATGAGAGAATATACTTATTAGAAGAGGCCATTGTTTCAGAGAAAGAGATTGTGAAGAGTGGACTGATTTCAGCAAGTTGAGTGAGTTCAATAAGAAAAACACTATGATGGATCTTCATACCGTAAAAGCCGTCAATTTGTTTCAGCACCTAAATATTTTCACGTGTAAGAGGTTGCGTGTGACGAAAATAACGGTTTATAGTTCGGATGATTGGATTTATTAGCATCTTGATTAAAAGTTCTCTTAATCACACTTAAATACAGCGCTACTGCGGATTTACAGACTTTCCAGTTCACCGTTACAAACGCACTAGGATGGTCCGTCTTGACTAGCCGTCTCCTGGTAACGGATCTTCACACAGAAACTAGTACTTCAGCTCAAAATGAAGCCTTCTTGCCATTTCATCTTCAATCACTCTGGAACCTCGGAACTAAAAATTCTTCTGGACTGACTCTTCCAGTTTACAACTAACTCGTAACTGCCCTTGAACTAATTCTGTCA